CAGAGCCACAGAGGACATTATACAACCATCCCAGACCATGACAGGTAGACTGACCCTGACATGGAATTGTGGAATGCACCTCTAATAAACACTCCAAGAACCTTCTTCTTATAATGTATTATTTTAAGACAGCAAACAAACAATCTTCTTTTTTAATAATGGCATTTATAGATTTGGTTCACAAGAGAATCACATTTAGCTGATCAAAATTCTTTAAATAATGGTACAGTATAAAAATGAGTTTATCACAAAAGTGTGTTTTGTATTATGAGGAAAGTACAGCGGCACAGTATTTGCTTTGTAGAAAACGTCCCTCCTTTACTTCCTTGCCCTGCAGTATACAGTAAATAAAAAAAAAGATACATTCACTGGATTAATTCATCCCACTGGCAGAAGGCACTAAAGAGCAGACCTGGATCAATTAGCACTTGCACATATGGCTTGTTTCTTTCTTCTTTTATTAAAGCAGACTAGATGCAAACAGACAGTGTTTGCCTCACAGGACAATACAGTCAGTGCCAGAGCTTTGAGACAATCACAGAGGAGATGGCAAGTGTCCTGATGTGGGACCAGACAAACACTAAAACTGTCTGCAACTGCTAACTGACCCAAATCTGCAAAGGAGGTCAGGCTTAATTGAAAACCAGCAGTAAGTGCCCTGAAAAAAAAACCAAGTGACACAAAGGATACTCTTCATTTCCAGTGCCAGGTTTAAACTTGAGTCCAACTGAAGTGAATTGAGCTGATCCTCAGTCCTGGTTTGTAACCTCTGGACCAAAAGGCAGTTCTACTGTACCAGTCCTGCATCTTTAGCCATGCTGTAGAAGATTCCTCTCTGTGATATGAGGTTTGTAGGAGTATCAAATTCTGCGATCTGTCCCTTGTCCAACACCAGCACTCTGTAAGAAGGGAAGAGGGAATAATTCAAGCACAAAGCCTGTGCAGTTTTATGAGCAATGCTGCAAAAGCAACGAATGTCAAATTCAATCTCTGTGTGTTCCTATAACGTAGCTCTCTGTTCAGGCTTGGGATATGTGACACTGCTGGCTTCATCTATCTGCTCAAGTAATGGATTTTTGTCATTCAGACCTAAGTATCTTGTAAGGACACGTCTGTCATGGCTTGACTCAGACATGACTGGACCAGAAAGAGCCCCCATCTTGAATGATATCTGTCATCTGAGGTGAGAGAAGAGCAGCATCACTGCTGTTTTAGTTTAAAGTAATGATATAAAGAAAGAAGAGTGTTTTTTTTAGAGGCCGCTGTTTTAGTTTAAAGTAATGATATAAGGAAAGAAAAGTGTTTTTTTAGAGGCTACACTGCAGATGGATTTTAAAGCATATTTTCCCTTGATTAAGAACTATCTTAGACACAAGAAACACCCCCCCTGCTTTTCACAGTGAACCCTCTAATAAACTCTCATAAATTGAATCATATAGTAGCAAATTCTGTGGTATCCTGTTTGATCTACAGGTGGTTGTCAAGACACACAGCAATGTGTGATGAAAGGCAGAGAAGAGCAACACTACAAGCACGTAGACAGAAAATGTTGAGGGAAAGTCACCTTGGGAAGCGCATACGTGTTAGTTAGAGCTCAAGGATACACACACTACATTTAGATGAACAGCGCATCCTGTAAACAAAAGCTTTTGAGAAAAAAATGGTTATAAATAATGTATAAAAGATTGACACAGTTTATAGTATTTATACCATTTAATAGGTGATGTCCCACATATTCCTAACTTTTAGTGATGCCGTGTTATTACTTAGTTCTGTGATGGACCCATTCATAACCTGGACCAGCATATAGCACAATAGTTTTAAGAGTTCACTTAGCAGTTGTTTTTCCTGTAAATCAGCTACACACATATCTAACCTTGTGTAATCCATGATTGTGTTGAGTCTGTGTGCGATGGTAAAGACGGTGCAGTCTTCAAACTTAGTCCTTATGGTGGACTGGATGAGATCATCTGTCTCCAGGTCGACAGCAGCTGTAGCTTCATCCAGGATGAGAATCCTGGTTTTCCTCAGGAGAGCTCGGGCCAAACACACCAGCTGCCTCTGGCCCACACTGAAGATAGAAGAAATACACATTTTTGAGAGGATCTTTACTGAGCAAGTACTGTAAGTCTGCTCATTCAACACTAGCTGACTCCCTTTTTGTTGTTCCCTCTGAACATACCTGAGGTTCTCTCCTCCCTCTGAACACTCCAGCTCCAGTTTTGCCGGCTGGTTGCTGACAAACCTGTGGAGGTGGGAATGTTCCAAAGCTTTCCACACCTCTTCATCACTGTACTTCTCAAAGGGGTCAAGGTTCATTCGCAGTGTTCCAGAGAAGAGGACAGGCTCCTGTGGCAGAGAAAAGGCTGTGTGGTTAGAAAACAAGGAGCAGTTGTGTCAGTCGTAGGAAAAAGTCCACCTTAATTATTAGTGTATCTTTCACTGAACAATTATCACTTATTCTGTTGACTGACAATTCAATTCAACAACCCTTTAGCCAAAAATGCCCATCTCTAGCCCAAGGCAAACAAAATCTCTTTGTGAAGCTGGAACCAGAAAATGTTCTATTTTATAAATTAGCTATTTCATGGGAACAGTTATTCACTTTCTTGCTGATAACCAGATGAGATGAGAGCAATAACACTCTCATATCTGTATACTAAATATGAAGCTATAGCCGGCCTGTAATTATCTTAGCTTAGCTTAGCTTAAAGACTGGAAACAGCTACCCTGGCTCTCTCAGACATTAAAAATCAGCCTACTATAGCTGCTAAACCTAGTTAGCTGAAACTGTTTGTGCCTTTATGAGCTTTGACATCTGTCAAACCAGCTTGTACTTTCACTTGTCTTGTGAGGAATGTGTGTGAGTGATGTGTACCTGTGGAATAATGGTGAGTTTGGACCTCAAGTCATGCAGGCCTATCTCTGCTATCTTAACCTCATCGATGGTCCGGCGGCAGCTTCCAGCAATCGTAAGAGGCAGAGCGTCATGGAGGACTTGCCGGCCCCTGTACGACCAACGATACCAATCTGTACAGAAACATGCACGTAACCGTAAGTAGTGAAACCATTTTGATGATTCATGAGCCCTTATTGATCACCCCACCACACCCTCCCCACCTTCTCTCCTCCTTTGACACTCAGTGTCAGGTTCTTCAGGACAAGGTCCAGGCCCTCTCGGTATCGAACGCTGTAGTTTTGAAAGTCCACATTACCCCCCATGGGCCATTCAGGAGGAGGCTTCTTGTCCTCCACCTCCCAGGGAGCCTGTGAATACAAACACAGAATTTCTGACGAGGAAAAATTCCTGAACAACTCATTAACCTTCTTGGCATTTAGTAGAACTGATTTGTTTAAAGTCTAAAAATGCAGGAGTTGGGCCTCTGTCACATGGAGCTGCCAAACATTTATTTGACTTCTGGGACACACTGGATGCTCTAAAGAAAGGCTTCCACTAAGAGCTACACCAGCTGTGAAAGGGACAATTATTGTGATGGCTGATGAGAAAGTACACTGTGTACAGTGCACATTCCCTGTTTGCCTTATGTAACAGGGGGGCACCTGTTGGCACCAGGTAATCTAACATTGCATCTTGTTATAGTTTATAGGTCTTGTGTTGTTTCAGAACATGACTTGGCAGCAGCACGGTTTTTAGAATGAAGTTAAACTACTACTTTTTAAAGGCAGCACAAAGCCAGCACTGTTTTACTTTTGAAAACAAAGACATGCACAGTCCATCTTTCAGCTTAAGTAAAATTTTAGAAAGAGACAGAAGTGGTACATCTTGTATGTATATACACACATGCTGCATAATGTACCTCTGTCTTGGTCTCAGAGTACTCCTTCACTCTCTCCACTGCAACTATGTTGCTCTCCAGATCTGAAGTCATTCGTACCATCCAGTTCAGAGACATGGTCACCTACAAAAACAAATGATTTTATTCTTTGTTCACAATAAATGCTCTTAATGCTTTCAATTCTGATGCCTGCAACACATTCCAAAAAAAGTTGGGACAGTAAAGCGTTTACCACGGTGTGATGCTGCTGTTCCTTTTCACAACACTTAAAAGACATTTAAGGACTGAGGACACCAAGTGATTAAATGTGTCAAGTGTTGTTTTGTCCCTTTCCTTCTGCAAACAAGTCTTAAGGTGCGCGACAGTCCTGGTTCTTCATTGACGCAATTTGCATTTCAAAATGTGCCGCACAGGCCGGGACTGCAGACAGGCCAGTCCAGCACTCGCACCCTTTTCCTCCACAACCTTGGCAATGTGTGCAGTATGAGGTTTTGCATTGTCTTGTTGAAATATGCATGGACGTCCCTAGAAAAGATGTCATCTTGAAGGCAGCACATGCTGCTCCAAAGTCTCTCTGTATGTTTCAGCATTAATGGTGCCATCACAGAAGTGTAAGTGACCTTTGCCAAAGGCACTGACACAACCCCAGACCATGACAGACTCTGGCCTTTGGACTTGTTGCTGGCAACAGTCTGGATGGTCCACATATCCAAATCCCTTCCTGTCTTTCTTTGAGGAAATTTGTTTTTAAACATTTCAATAATTTTTTCACACTTATTTTGGCAAACTGACGGTCCTCGGCCCATCTCTGTTCCTAAAGGGCTCGGCCTTTGCTGGATGCCACTGTTGTACCATTTCATGACTGCAGTTACCTGATGACATCAGGTGTTTCAAATGGAATCAGCATTTCTTTGTTTTACCCCATTACTGGCCCTGAAATACAACCGTCCCAACTCCATGAACTGCACTGACCTCCTGAGTTTAGGGATAACCCTGTGTGGGTTCATCACCACAAGTGACAGCTTTCATGCCATCCATTATTATACATAAATATTGTTTCATGCAGATTTAACGGAAAGATAGAAATATAAAATATGAGTTATTAGCTACCGGTAAAACATCTAAAAAGAGTTGAAATACTGACCCAACTTAGCTATCTATGCAAAAACTGATACTGTACATTAAATGAAACTAACTTGTTGAATTGTTATCTATACAGAAGAATTAATCCCTACATGCAGGCCATCTTACAGTGGTTAGCTTGTAGCATACCTGTAGAGCATAGGACACTGACAGACCCACAAGGCCAGGGTTCAGAGTCTCCTTTCCAATCACAGCAAACAGTGCAGCAAACAGCACTATGCAGTTCCCGACAAACTCAATCCGCACTCCAAGCCACCTGCACGACAGTGTATTACAGTAGAAATACAGTTAAACAGAAGTCTGGCCTATAGGTGAACTAAGGAACTCAACTTGTTATGTCATATTTTTAGGCAAGTTGTGCTTCTAGCCACAACCCAAGTAGTGATATGTTGATGTTTTGATTGCTAATTGAAAGCACATGTGGTGACATCGCTGTCATGTGCCTTAAAGCGGTGTTGACCTGCCCTTCAAATGAATGTTTCATACACAAAAGAAGGTTACATTGACTTTCACATGATAAATTAATTATCATGGGTTCTATCATGGGTGCACCGACAAACGAGTCGCCAATTACCGAGTGCAACACAGCTGAGGTGCAGAATCCCGCAGATCAAGAAAATAGAGGAGAGAAAGGTGGAGGAGAGGCAGCGGCCGCCGAGTGGCCCTGACAGTTTTGTATATATGGAAACACACTGCTTTCACCAGAGGAAAAACATGGCATTGCATAATTATAACTTTCTATCTCATACTTATACTCCAGTCTTGTAATTACATTAAGTCTTTACTCATGTGAACACATTAAACTTTTACAAGAAACAGGAAATATAATGTTGCCATGGATACAATGAGTTATGATGGGTCCCATTTTAGCCTATATTTGTTTACATTTTGGAACACAGAGTACGCCCAGTTAGCTATAAGTTAATGAGACAGAAGAGAGAGCGGTAGCAGTATCAATATTCTTATCCAAGTCTCTGCAAGAATGTAAGTAAGTGCATTTCCCAACAGAAATTTCTTCCTTTAAAGACCTTACCCGTCACACAAGTGCCTGTGCACAAAAGCATAAATGAAAGAGAGAGTCTTTTAAACAAAACTGGAACACAGCAGCTGTTCTGCTGAAGAGAAACAGGACACCTACCTGTTGGACACTATACCAGGGTAGTAACTCTTTTGGTTCTCATCCACTTTCATATCACTCATCAGAACAAAGACAGCATGTCTGCCATAGGCTCGGATTACACTAGAGCCAGTGATGGTCTCAGAGAAATGGGAGTATATGGGAGAACGGCTGACCGACTCCAGACGCTTTAGCTGGCGAGATGTGGCAACATAAAACCTCTACAGGTGTTGAGGGGAGAAAAACAAACAACATTACAAGTGAACAAGATGTCATCAATTGTTCAGATATTCAAAATCAATTATGATGCAAACAGATGCCCACAGACATACACGCTCTCACACAGGCAGAGTAATAAAGAAAGCTTGTTGGAACAAACCACCTGCAGTGCTCATTTGATATTCAAATTTCCTCAGAGGTGGTGAGTTGCTCTGTGCACAGCAAATTAACTCTGACTGAGTTACCAAGAGTAATTATTACTGCATCCATGTTATACATAAAACAATGGTAACTTTAACTGCAGGTGTTGTCAGATTTTAGACAAAATGATGCTGCAAAGGTACTGGCCATGCAGGTCAGATGCCATGACAAAGCCATGGGAATAGTATGAGTTGTGTTAGCACACCTGATGTTACTCATTTGGAGGTCTAGTTAGTAAAAGCAAAGCGAGTACACAGACCTTAAACACCCCATGAGTGTCTGTCTCTAAAATTCACTTTACTGGCTACTTTCATTCACAAGTCTACTGTAAGTATGTTTAGGAAATGCTTAAAGCTAGAGTGACTCATTTTTATCCTACAAGTTTTCCTGAACCTTAACACTAAAATAAAAACCTGTGTGGTACTGATTGATTAATTGTTTAATATCTGTAAAGTCTGACTGAAAGC